TTCATACATCATGGTGTTTTATGCTCACACATCTCTAGTGAAGAGGTTAGCGAAGTATAGGCAAACAACCACCTGTTGTAAATACATTTTTTATTTAATAAAAATATGCCCATTCACCATTCCCACGGTTGGTTTTGCACAGTAACAGCAGAGCTGAGTAGTTACTAAAGAGACCATGTGGTTCAAAAAGCCAAATGCAGTTATGGTTAGGTCTTTTGCAGAAAAAGTTTATCAGTTCCTTGTATAGGGTATACATATAAGGTTAACCTTTTTGAGGCTTGTTGTGGTGGTGCATGCCTTTAATTCCACCACTTGGGAGGGGAGGCAGAGGTACGCAAATCTTTGTGGATTTAAGGCCAGCCTGGTCTACATAGTGAGTTCCAGGCCAGCCAGGGCTATGTAGTAGTGAGTCCCTGTCTAAAAAAAAAAAAGTTTAACCTTTTTTGAGGCCCAAGATAAGTTCATCTTCAGCTTGATTAGATAATTCCACGCACTATCCGAAACAATTATACACATTTGTACTATTGTAAGAAGTGTCGAAGATTTCTTGTTACTCTTTCTGCATCCTCATAGACATTTTTTAAATATTTTATTTTTTTTTGTGTGTGTGTGTGTATGAGTGTATGTATGTAAGTGCACCCATGTCATGCAATGCCTGCAGAGGTTGCAAGAGGGCATCAGAGTCCTCTGGAATGGATGGCTATTAGCCATCATGTGGGTGCTAGGAATTGAACCTGGGTCCTCTGCAAGAGCAGCCAGTGCTCTTAACTACTGAGCCATCTCCAGCCCTCTCACAGACATTTTAAACTGCCAGATTTTATCTTTTCACCAATATACAGAAAATATGTCTCGATGATTTTACTTTGCAGTTCTCTGATTCCCTTAGAGTACAGCACCTTTGCATATGTTTATTGAACATTTGAGTTTCTTTTTCTGAAATTCCTATTCAAGGGTTTTAATCGTTTTGTTCTATTATGATGTTTCTTGTTCTTATTTAGAGTAGTACTTCATATTTTCAGTGTAGTAGATATTCCGGAAAATCTTTACCTGCCATTTCTTGCCATTTGCATTCCATGGATTGTCTTTAATGAATAGAAATCAATTTTATTGTAGTTCAAAGTTGTCAGTGTTTTCTCTCATGGCCCTTGCTTTTTTTTGAGTCACATTTAGGAAATTCTTCTTTGTTCTAAGCCCATTTTAAGTTTCTGTTTTAATTAGTGAGAAGTACTTGTACCTAAACTTTTGATATTTTATGCCCATAAAATACCAAAAACAAATGCACATAAAATACCAAAGCACCACTAGTTAACCAAAAGAATCATGTTTCTTCTTTATGACACTTTGAAATATTTTAAGCTTTTTTTTTGACAGCTTTAAAATACCTTTGTAGATACTATCTTGTGTTAGCCAGGGTTTTCCAAAGAAATAGCAGGAGTAGGATAGATTACCATATAGATGGAGAGACAGAAAAGTGACAGGTGATAGCTAGATAAGAAGGATGTTAAGGAAATTGGCTACAGGAATATGGATGCTGTGAAATCCCACAAGTGGCTTTCTGTGAATAGGACAACCAGAGAAGCTGGTAATGTGCTGTGGTCTAATGGTGTAAATCCTTGTTTCTGAAGACTTGGAGAAATGGCAGTTTTGATGTTCAAGAGCAGAAGAAGAAAGGCGCCCCTGATGACAGGGGGATCAGAGAGAGAGAGAGGGATGGAGAGAGAGAGAGAGAGAGAGAGAGAGAGAGAGAGAGAGACTGATTTGTGCTTTTCTTGTCTATTCAAGCTCTCTTATGCTGGATGATCTAGTCATGATCCCTCATCCATTTTGAATGAGGACAGATCTTTATTCTTCAGTTCATTGATTCAGATGCCCATTTCTTCTAGAGGCATGGGCAGGCCACATGCATGATAACAATTCTTGCTTTATCAGCTATCTGGACATCCCTAAATCCAGTCAAGCTGACATCTCAAGTTATCAAACATCTTCTATCATGGAAGTACCTAAAATGTCATCTTTTTCCCTATGAAATTTCATCCTTTTGTTGGATACATTCTTGGAATACAAAGTAAGATTGTTACTCTTGTGAAATTTTGGTGGTTTTCATTTTCAAACTTGTTGATCACTTTCTTTTATTAAATTAAAACAGTTTCTTTTCAAGTGGAGGCTTGAAAACAATGCATTCATTCATTCATTCATTCAAGTAAACACTTCTGACTCAACACTGATCCACCTTTGTTCCCAGGTCCTAAAGGTGATCCAGGTCAGACCATAACCCAGCCTGGGAAGCCTGGCCTGCCAGGAAATCCAGGCAGAGATGGTGAAGTAGGTCTTCCAGGTATGCAAAGAATTTATTTGAAAACGCCTTCGCCTTTAGCTTTACTTCTTTAGATGTTTCCCATTTCAAAACTACTCGTTCTTCCTAGGTGACCCTGGGCTCCCAGGCCAACCAGGCTTGCCAGGAATACCTGGTAGCAAAGGAGAACCTGGCATCCCTGGAATTGGGCTTCCTGGATCACCTGGTCCCAAAGGTACAATGGACTAAGTAGTAGGCAGGGTAGATTAGGTGCTTAATATGGTACTATTCTTTGATAATAGCAAACATTAAATGTGACATATTTTCTATCTACTTAAGTTAATAAATTTTATCTAAAATAGTCTAGTGATTAAGTTTTCATACATTTTAGAGACATAATTATTTATGAGCTAAAATATCACAAGAATTACATTTTGTGTTCATCATTCTATTGTCAGAGCTTATAATTAATTCCTGGTAATGTAGCAAGTTCTCAGTAGGCATTTATTGAATAAATGGATTGTATTAACTAGAAAACAGATTTATTTCACACATGTGTACAATGTTTCATCCCAAGTAAAATACTCCTTGATTTATTGAAATTCTTAAAGCTTTTGCTACAGTTCTACTTTATTACTCACAGAATTTATTCTCATGAATAACAAAGAAGCATATTTGTGTGAAAACAATTCTTTTTGGTTTTGTATTTGTTTTTTTGAGACAGAGTTTTACTGTGTAGGCCTAGCTGGCTTTGGGCTTACTATGTGGACCAGGCAGGCCTTAAATTCACAGAGACTTGCCTTTGCCTGGCCCAGGACAATTCTTAATTATGTCTTAATTCATACCAAATACTTAAATAATTTCGGATTTGACTTTATGGGTGAATGTGTATATAACATCTGAAGATGCTTTTAGCTCATTTCCAGGAGTATATGATAGGGATTTTTTCATACTGTATCCCGATGTAAACGAAGGAAAGTTTTTTAGTGTTTCATGTGCATTCATTCCTTATTTTTCGTTCTGATTTATTGTGTATTTTTTCTTCTACACACATTATCGCTTTGTGAAAATAAAAGGCTGAGGTGATTGAGAGAATATAACAGATATCTGGAAGGTCTGATCCTAAATAGCCATACGGAATGTCAGTGCATTATTAACATTTTAATGTATAAAGATAAGGTGAGAATGCGGTCATCTTTTGTAAAGTTTCTACTCTATGGAGATTTTAAAAAGTGACTTAATATTTTACAGGTTTCCCAGGAATTCCAGGACCTCCAGGAGCGCCTGGGACACCTGGAAGAATTGGACTACAAGGGCCTCCTGGGCCACCAGGCTTTCCAGGACCAAAGGTCTGCAATATTTTAATTTAGCCCTTTTTCGTTTTCCTGACTTCTTTACTGCCCTTAGCCTTAATTCTTATTTTAACTTAGACATCATCCCAGGTCTTTATTATATAGATAAATTTAACTACATTTTCATTAGAAATATTTAATCCCCAAACATCTTTAATAATCCAAGAGGTCATATTTGGATCCAAAAATTTCTGGCCTGGTTTTAGACTGGCTATTGGATTAGATGAGAGAATCCAATGATCAGCTTCTCCCATGCTTCCCTATACAAGCAGTATCCCATTTCATATCTGTCATATTCATGTGATGATTGGTGATATGGTGCCAGATACATCAAGCCATTCCTATACTTCTGTCCCAGTTCCATCACAGATACCTAGAGAAAAATCACTGCTTTTATTTAATTATAATATGAAATAATTCTGTATTTATATTTCTGCTATTATATCTTATTTAACTTCAAACTTTCCTCAGTCAGCTTTCAGAAAACTGTTGCAGTATTTAATTACCCTGATGCTTTCTCTGTTCTTAATTTACTGGGTTACGTCATTACTGCTTGTTTACATGGGAGAAACAGCTGACAGATCTCATGAGAAAGCTACTTCTGTTGCCTTGTTATGTTTGTTTTCTGATGAACATTTTCAAATCAACACAACATAAAAGGAGTGATATATGAAAGTTTCATATATCCATCAACCTGTTGCAAAATCAAGATTTTTCCCATTTCCTTCATCTATTTCTTATTTTCCTTCAGTATTTTAACTCATATTTCAATGATGCCATTTTATCTATAAGTGCCTCAGCATTAACTTCCAGCTAAGTGAAAATTTTAAAGAAAAAGTGCAATGCCATTATAAGACTTAGTCAAATCAAAAATAATTAGTTGGATTATCTAATAGTCAGTCTGCAATCACATGTTTTCACTTGGGTAGACTGTTATTTAATTGCATGCTCTTTTCTTATTTTGAAACAAGTCCAACTCATTTAATTTGTTTGACTAAATCTTAGTTTCTATCCTTCCAGATGTTCTCTCTAACATGACAATTACTTTTCATTTAATTATCCTCTCCTCACCATGAAAGAAAAATATTACTTTGTATTTTCTGCTTTAAATTCTCTGTAGTAAATGGTAAGAATCAGGAAAATCATGGGAAGTTTTGTTGTTTTTTTGTCATGTTTATGCTTAAGGGAGAGCCAGGATTTGGTTTACCTGGGCCACCTGGGCCACCAGGATTCCCAGGTTTCAAAGGAACACCAGGTCCAAAAGGTGATCGTGGTTTCCCAGGACCTCCAGGTCCTCCTGGACGCACTGGCTTGGATGGGCTACCTGGACCAAAAGGTATGGTGGCTCTTGCTACTTCTCAATTTGCTTTAAACTCTTATAGCTATTGAAACTGTTGGGAAAGCTTAAGGGTCATAAGCCTGTTAACTGGAAAACTTGTGCTGTCCCCCTGTCACTTCTGCACTTTTTTTTCAATTTTTGCTGGTTATTTTTATCATTGAGTTTGTTAAAGTGAAAATACAAAAATATTTTAAAATAATACAAAAATATTAAAGTAGCAGACCTGGATGTGTGCTGCAGGAATGTAGTCCACTCACATTGGGATCAGAGGTATGTGGATGGGGAGCTCAAGGCCAGCCTCGTCTACATAGCCAGCTCAAAAAGAGGCTGGACTACAGGAAACTCTGTCTCAAAAACAAAATAAACAAACAAAAAAACAAAGGACTGTTTCTCCTACTCCATCACCATCCACTTTACTCTTTTTCATCCCATATATACCCACACTGTAGTTTATCCTTTATCCTTCCATTGTTCTTTTGTAAAAAATATTAGCTAATAGGAATTTTAATCCTCCCCTTCATAAGAGAGGACACTACCTTTTGCCATTTTGCATTGTTAATTTCATATAATTTGTATCTAACGTATCACTCCTTATCAGTACTTGTGGCATTAAAAAAATTAAAGTCTGAAAGTGCAGAGAATAAGAGACTGCAGAGTGCTTATCCCCAAGTAGGACAGCTATAGCAAACCTCTGCCACCCATGGTTCAGGGACTATTGTGGAAGAAGGGGCAGGAAGATTGTAAGAGTCAGAGGTTATAGATAAGCCACAAGGAAGTAGAGTTTTCCAGACAGTTGGTCAGTTATTCATATGAACTCACAGCAACAGTGACAGCATGCACAAGACCCATGCAAGCTCAAGCCAGGCAAAATCCCAGCAGAGAAGTGGAGAAATGGGTAAGAAGGCCCAGCCTTAGTTGAGGAACTTTTGGAAACTGAAACTAACTATTGGGAGAAAGAGAGTTGATTTTCTTTAAGGGTGTGACAGTAGATAAGTTATCCAGTCTCCTGTGGATAGATGTACATCAAAGGACATTCGAGAACACAAACTTGACTCTGTAGGCCTTAATATATATGACACTACATGAAATCCAGCAGTGTCTATAAAAGGGGTGCAAACAGGGGAGGGAACATCTACATATGATCAAAATATGTTGTATGAAATTCACAGAAATTCAAATTTAAAAATTAGTGACAGTATTGAATTACATAAGCTAATCTGTGAATTTCTATTTGCTGGAATGGATTTTTGCCCAACTTCTCTTATTGCAAATAATGTCACAGTGAATAATCCTCAATATGTATTATTTCAGATGTATACAGGGATAATTGTAGGCTAGATTAATAATGATGAATTTTTTGAGTAAAAGGTAAAAGCATCTGAAGGTATTTTCACATTCCTCTCTATTTGTACCATTTTGCACAACTCCTGGCTTTGTACAATTGTGCTTGCTTGAGCAAAGCCTTCCTGAGTATGCTTTTAAAAAAAAAGCAAAACAAACCTTCCTGGATTTTTGCTAGCCTGATTTAAGTAAGTAGGTTTATCAGTATAATTTTTAACTGAGAAAATTTTTATTGTAAGAACCTTAAAACATGGATAAAAAGTAAAGATTTGTACATTCAATGGTCATTTGCCTACTTCCTAGGCACTACAAGTAATGTTTTGTTTTCTGCCAAAGTTTTGTTTTATAAAACTTGCAGATATAACCTGCACTCTGGAAGCAGAAGCAGGGGGATTTCTGTGAGACTGAGGCCAACTTGGTCTACATAGAGAATTCTAGGTCAGCTGGGGCCTCAGGGAGACCCCGTTTCAAAAATCCAAATAATTTTACAGATACATGCATTAGACATACAGCTTCATGTTAGGACACTTGCTTAATGTGTTCATGACTCCAGGTTCAGTCCTCAGCTCCAGAAATGAAAATTTCATGCATACCATATAGTAGAAAAGACCTAACAATGACTGCTGTACACCCATTATAAACATACTTGTTTATAACCACATATACCTGTAAAATGAATGGCTCACAGTGAACAATGATAATTCTGTAGTTATCCTCCCTACTACACTGCATTGGTGGGTAACTGAGTGAGCAATAGGCCATATGGAATAGTCATTTATAAATGTGATAAAAAATGTTCAGAAATAATAATTACATTATAAATAATAATTTGCCAAGCCTTTATCTTCTGGTAATAGGTACCTTCAGGCATCTTCAGTTTCTGCTAAACTTGTTTAAGATAGTAAAATGTATTTCTTTGCATGAAAAAAGTGTCATTGTGAAAACTCAGCTAGCATATTACAATAGAAGTTGACCTACCACAAAATTGGGATCTATGCTCAGTGATAGATCACTTTCATGTCATATACAAGGCCTTGGGTTTGATCCTTAGGGTTGATGCCTCTAAAATGTCCACCTATTGGACACATTTAGACGAATTACTGGGTATTAAAACTCAGCAACTGGGGCTAAAGACGATTCAGTATCTTAGACAACTGGCTGTTCTTACAGAGGACCAGATTCAGTTCCCAGCACCACATGGCAGGAAACAAGCTTCTTTAATTCCATTTCCAGGGTATCTGATGCTCTCTGGCATCTGTAAGCATTACACACATACAGTTCACTTACTTGCAAATAAAACACTCATATACATACAATAAAAATAAATAAATAAATAAAATTTTAAAGGGGGCTGGAGAGAAGTTAAGAGCATTTGCTGCTCTGCAGCCCATATCTGGTAGCTCACAACTACCTGTAGCTTCAGTTCCAAGTGAGCCAAAGACCTCTTCTGGCATCCTCAGACACCAGGCATGAGCATGGTGCACATTCATACATGCAGTCAATAACACATACACATAAGATAAAATAGAAATGAAATAAAATTTAAAAAAAATCAATTCCAGAAAGATTTAATAAAAAATCAATAACAAAAAGATAACTATGACTGGTAAAATCCTGACATATTTAGAAACTAATCATCAGAAAAATTAGGAGGCATTGAAATGAAAATAATAGACTGAAAAATGAAAATAAAACATATCTAGTGATCCTAAAGGAAATTTGTGTATTAAAGGTTATATTAGAAAAAAGAAAAATCTCAAATAAATTATCTAATCATTTATTTTATGAAATTAAAGTAAATAAATTGAAAAGAACATTTGCATAAGGTAGACTGTAGTAATAGTATATAATATACATTTTACCATCAACTATATATTTTTGATATATATTTTATTGAATTTTTCTACATTTCACATAACACATCTTTTAAAAAGATTATTGTTTTGTAATTTCATGCAACAGTTCTTTTTTTTTGTACATTCATTTTATTTCCATTTCCATATAAAGAGTATGAAAGGATATAGGTATTGTATTGCTGCAGTGATATCTGATCCATATAATTAAGATTATTGTCTATCCTTTTCTACTCTTTCATAGTTTATTTTCAAAATTTTCATAGTAAACATGCATTACTTTTATAATAAAAAGCAAAAAATTCCAGTAAAAATATTTTTTCATAAAAAATAAAAATGACCAGCTTCAACTTTGAGATTTCTTAGCTGCCTGCTCCAAGATTTATTTAGTTCCAAACCCAATATTATTTCAACTGCTTATTAGCTTAAAATCCCTACAATGGCGGCTTCACCTGTTGTTTGCCAGGAACGCCAAGGTCAAAAGCAATGGTTCTCAACCTGGCCTTGGTGCTTTAAAAATATACATGCTTAGTCTTCACCACCCATAAAATTCCTTCTCTGAAGATGTAGAGTAGACCTAGCTTTGTAATCTGGTATGTGTGTGCATGTGTGTATGTGATTTACATAAATTTCTATTCTATTTGCAATTTTCCTAATATTTTCTCATATAATTTAAGTCCTAGCTTTTCAAATAATCTTATTTTATGTTTACTCTATTTGTACAACCAGAGTGTAACTCCACGTATAAATACCTGACACTTTTTTCATGCAAAGAAATACATTTTACTATCTTAAACAAGTTTAGCAGAAACTGAAGATGCCTGAAGGTACCTATTACCAGAAGATAAAGGCTTGGCAAATTATTATCTATAATGTAATTATTATTTCTGAACATTTTTTCATCACATTTATAAATGACTATTCCATATGGCCTATTGCTCACTCAGTTACCCACCAACGCAGTGTAGTAGGGAGGATAACTACAGAATTACCATTGTTCACTGTGAGCCATTCATTTTACAGGTATATGTGGTTAAGGGTTTGGGCAAAACAAGTATGTTTATAATGGTCTTAGAACATTTTAAATCAAAGCTGTTTTGACAATTCTTCATGTGTGAAACAATGGGACTTTACCTATACATTTAGTTATAACCTAAAGAACATCCCAAACTCTTTTTCTTTTGAAAAGCTTAGTACTGTTAAGGAGTCCTTACTTCAGAAAGGATATGAATGGGCTTCAGTCTAGACATATTTTTACCTTAACAGCTTCAACAAAAATATTAATCATATCCTTGACTTGAGGGCTCAAATAATTTCAATAATAACCAACTACATAGACCAAATTCATAGAATTGTCAAGAAACATAATCTCGGGTTCACAGTTGTATTAGTCGAGTTCTCCAAAGAAACAGAACCAGTAGAATGAATATATATGTATAGAGATTTATCAGCTTAGCTCACAGGATAGAGTCCGAGTAGTCCAACAATGGCTGCACCACACCGGAGAGGCTGAGAATCTGTAGTCGCTCAGTCCACGAGACTGGATGTCTCAGTAGTCCCAATCTGGCGCTGAAGGTCTGACAAATTCCAAAAGATCAGCTAGTCTTCAGTCTACAGCAGCAAGACGAACTCACCAGTGAGAGAGAAGGCAAGCAACAAGAAGCCTGGCATTCTCTTCTGCCTTGGCCTTTTATACCGGCTGCCATAAGAAGGTAACGCCCACATTTAGGGTGTGTCTTC